GTTAGGAATTTATTTTATTTCATTTTAATTTTTAAAATGATGTATTTTAATATTTTTATTTAATAAAAATTTTCAAATAAAAAATTTAAGCTTTCAATTAGTGAAACATAGAATTACATTCAATCAATGGAAGCACCGATAAAAGATTATGCCAAGCAAAACATAAGGTGAAAGATTGACTGATTATATATCAATAAAGAATATACAAATATAAAATTAGTGCTATATAATATTTCAATAAAGAATATACAAATATAACGATTTCAAAAATTTTAAGGATTAATATGAAACTCTTTTATTAGGAGAAATATTGTATACAACTTTATTATCTTTATTGTATCGGTTGAATAATGTTCACTATTATATTAAAATTTTTAAGATTATTATATTAGGTAATATTTGTTCAAAAGCGTTGAAATTCATCAAATTAATTATAGATATTAAATTTAATATAAAAATATTAGGCTAAAACAACAAAAAAACTTGAATTTTACCACTTTACTTAGATAAACCGATATAATTTTATTGTACCAAAATTAACTCTTAACCTTTAATTTGTACTTAAATAAACTATTAAGTATTAATTTGTAGCCAAATAAACTCCTAATTTTTAATTTGTAGCTAAATTAGTCCTTCAAAAAAATTAATCTCTGATCTAAAATAAGGGTTTATTTGAATACAAATTAAATGATAAAAACTTATTTTGGTATAATAAAAATATAAGAGCTTATTTAAAAAAGTGAATAGTTCAAGAACTTTTTAAATATTTTAGCCAAATATTATTATAAATTATTATTTAACTAAAGGCATTCATTAGCAAAATTTATTTGATAAATTTTTACTTAATTATGTATTAGCATTTCAATAATTTTGAATTTTTTTCATAATTTTAATTAAAAATATTCTTAAAAAATAATTAACTAATTCTACTACAAGGATAATAAAAATGAGACACCGAAGATGAAAGGAAAAAGTTTAAATAAAAAACTTTTAAATTATTGTATAAGATGAATAAAAAATATTGGATTCTAATTGGGTTACTATTTTAATTCAAATTTTGGTTATGCTCAATCATTTCGGGTTTTAAGCAACTACTAAATTGTTAACTTTTTAAAATCAATTGAAATCGAGTCAAGTTAGTTCATTTTTATAATTTTGTATATTATATTAATTTTTAATTGAATTAAATTTAAAATGAGTAAAAAAAATTTTGTATATTCAATTTAAGTTTTGAATTGTTTCAATTTTGAGTGGATTAATCATGTTATTTTTAGCTATACTTTTATGATACCATTAATAAACTTCAAAATAAAATAAAAATGCAACATAATAAAAATTTAAGTACAAAAGTTATAGAGACACCAACGATAATTCTGGAAGAAATTCCTTATATTTAAGTGTTACAGAGATTAAAAAATATAATTTCTTTTGAAGGTATTGAAATTTATATTATAAAAATATTAATTTAAATCAACAAATTTATAATCGTTCATTTATTGATCAAGTTACTACTATATGAGTTAAGGAAAATAACTCAAACATTTTATTTAAAAAAGATATCATAATTTATATTCATTCAAGAAAATAACATAGAATTAATTGAAAGATAATATGAAGTTAATTGTTGTGAACTTAATATTTTTTAAAAATGTTATTTGTTTATTTTTTATTAATTTTATTTAGTAAATTTTTCTCATCACTTTTATCATATATATAACAAAATTTTTACCCAAAATTATATACTTAAAAGTATAAACATAAGGCAAATTTTATTATTTATTGTTGGTAGAACATTTCAAAATTTTCAGTCTTTTATGTGCAATTGTACTTCGTTAATAGGTATTAAAATACATATACTAATCATTCAATCAAATCATCAATAAAACTTATCTTAATATGTACAATTTTACCATTAACTAAAAATTTAAAGAATATCTTAGAAATATTGACTTAATATATATTGTATATATTTATTTAATTTAGTTTGATACTTGCATTAGCATAGTAAGTTTTGACTTTAACTTATAATTACATGTTAAACTACAAATAGCAAATTAAGAGCATTTATTCATTGCTTTTGAAGTTATCTACACTTAAAATTTTTCTTACTTTCTTTCTTTACTTTACAAATTAAGTCATATAGCATACATTGTGGTCACTTTCTTTTTTGGATATAAGTAAATCAACGACAATATAATATTAGATAACGGATAACTTATTAATTAATCATTAAAAACTTAAACATAATCAATATAATTTAGTAGTAATTACTAATAACTTAATAATTAATTAATAATAACTTAATAGTAAAGTATAATAACTTAGTAGCAAATTAGTGATAACTTAATATTAAATGAATGATAATTTAATAGTCAATAATTGACAATTTAGTAGTAAAATATATTAAAACAAAAAAACTAAAAGGCAAAAATAGAAATAAAAAACAAATATGCTTCAATGACTGAATTATAATTATCTTTAATGAATTTATTTATTAATATAAACTATATATGTAATTTTGTAATAAATAATAAAAAATTATGTAGTAAATCAATGATAATATAGTAATAAATATATAATAATACAATAATAAATCACTAATAATTTAGTAGTAAATTGATAACAAAATACTAAATAAAAAATAATGTAGAAGCAAATTACTAATAATTTAGTTGTAAATCAATAATAATTAATATTAAATTAGTTAATCAATAATAACTTTATAATAAGTCATCGATAAATTAATAGTAAATTAGCTATAACTTTATAATATATCATCAATAACTTAATAGTGAATCATCAATAATTTAATATTAAATCATTTATAGCTTAATAGCAAGCCATTCAAAATTTAATGGTAAATCATTCATAAATTAGTAATAAATTATGGATAATTTATTAGTAAATCATTGATAATTTAGTGACAAATCATTGATAACATAAAAGTAAATCAATAATAAATTAATTGTCAATCATTGATGACTTTTATTAATATATGAAAATTTCAAGAATTGAACCTTAATTATTAGTAGAAATGAAGTGAGAACTTTTATCTTGAGAGCTACGATAAATCTACTATAAATTTATTTAATAAAAAAATTTAGTAAAAAAAATTTAAATTTGGAAGTAATAATGTTATTATATAAAAAGAAATTATCTAAGATATTTTTAATGGACTTTTTAAAATCTATATTTTATAGTTGTAAATGCATGATAACATATGAGAAAATTAATGATAATTTAGTAAAAAATAAGTGATAACTTTATAGTTAATTAATAATTTAGCAATAAATCAATAATAGAGTAATAGTAAATCAGCTTCAGTTTAATAGTAATTAACTGATAAACTTAATAGTAAATAATAAATAACTTAATTATAAATTAGTAATAATTTAGTAATTAATTATTAAAAACTTAAAAGTAAATCAATATAATTTAATTATAAATTAATAATAACTTAATAGTTAATAAATGATAACTTAATAATAAATTATAGATAATTTAATATAAACCAATGATAAATTAATAGTGAATTACGGATAATTTAATATATATAAGTAATAATTTTATAGTAAATAATCGAACTATGATAATTTTATAGTAAATAATAAAAACCTAAGTAGTAAATAAATGATAATATAGTAATAAATGCATAATAACATATTAGCAAATTATTGATAATTTAATATTAAATTACTGATGATTTAGTAGTAGTAAATCACTAATAACTTAATTGCAGTAATAATTTAATAATAAATTAGTTAATCATTGATAACTTTGAAAGTAAATCATTAATAAATTAGTAATAAATAAATTATAATTTTATAATAAATCATCAGTAACTTAATAATAAATCATCAATAATTTAGTAGATAATTTAATAGTAAATCATTGATAATTTAGTAATAAATCATTTATAGTTTAGTAGTAATCACTGACAACATAATAATAATTTAATTATCAATCATTGATAATTTTTTAATATTTGAAGTTATCAGGGGTTGAACTTTAGTTACTAATAGAAACGAAACTAAGACTTTTATCTTAGGAGGTTAGGATAAACTTAAAATGAACCTATTCAATAAAACAATTTAGTAAAAAATTTTAAATTTGAATAAAAAAATAATGATATTATATAAAAAAATACTTAAAGTAGAATGGAAATGTCTTGTGGGAATCAATTATTAAATATATGATTATACTAATTTTATCAATGATTACTAAAAGTAATTATAAATTATCAAAATTATATGAAAAATTACCAAAATTACAGTAAGAGGTTACTAAAATTTTATAAAAAATTATCAAATCTATAACAATAGTTAAAAAATTTATATAATAAGTTACTAAATTAATGTAAAAGGTTATTAAAATTGTATCAAAAATTACCAAAATTTTATTAAAGGTTATAAAATTTTTAACCGAGGTTTTTGAAACATATCAATGTTATTAAAATCAAAATTATATCAAAAGTTATCAAGTTTTACTTATATATATCAAAATTAAACATAAATTGTTAGCATTTTTTATTGTTGTTGTTATTATTATTATTATTATTATTATTATTATTATAATTATTTATTGAATTAAAATTTTAAAGATAAAAATTACATGTGCGCAATGCAAGTGTTACAAAATTATATATATATATATATATATACATACATACATATTCACATACATGTAAGGATTATTAGGCATAAATATTTTGAGTCTAATTTTTATTGTTAAGAATATTTAGATTCTTTCTTTTGTTTGTGATATTCCAAATTTCATCTATATGTTTTTTTTTTTCAAATCAAGTTTATACATATTTTATGTTGATAACGTCGATGTTGAAATTATGTAGGATTTTAAACTTTTACGAACAGAGGATTTAATTGACAATCATTTAACTTCGTTTATAAAATTAAAAGAATACACTTCGATCTCGCTTACTATTAATCTTAGAATGTTCAATAGTTTTGATAGTCAAGACTCGAGACAAATTACTATTTTGCATTACCAGAAGAGTCAGACGTTTTGAAATTGTAAATGTAGTTGATAGCTACAATAATATGCCCCCTCCCTTTCACAAACATTCACACTATTTGACGTCGATCACAGATGGGGGGTGATTTCTTTGTTCGCTTGAGCTAATTACAAGTAATTATAATTGAAAATATTGAAATTTTCGTATAGACACTATAAGTTTTTGCTCACTTGGACTATTAGCAACTCAAAGTCCTAGAGCATTGTAAAACACCTGATGAGCTTGTTAATTCTCTAACCGATGGAGCATCCTCAACCTTGAAACTTTGTTCGTGGTTATAGTAAGGCTTCGCACCACCTATACCTGTTGGACTACTGAATGATGCTCCATTTTCGAAAACATCCCCCACAGAATAGAATTTCCATGTAGCTTTGTCCGCCTGGCTGCCTTGTCTCCATGTTACCTATTTGAACGTAATTTGGATTCTGGGGGTCAGCAATCGATTCAAATTGGAAGCAAAATATTCATTGAAAAAAACAAGAATATTATTGGTGGGTATTACCTCTTTGTTGCCTAATTTTGGAGCAATGAACAAGTTGGCTTCACTCTTAACGCTGGGGCTCATGCTTCCGCCGATGGCATATTGTTCCCATCCTTGGTAGAGATTGTTGGCTACATGCGCTAACCCGTGCCGGACTCTGACATTTTTCTTTTATGTAAATATGCAATTTGTTGTTATAATTAGTTCATTGAGAGACACTTAAGAACTTAATTATTAATTACCTTGGCATTCGTTGGTTGCAATTAGGCCCAAAATGGTTAAAGATGACAGTGACCTTCATGTTCCTGTCTCTCAAATGGCCATCATCATGGCCAAGAAGCATTACTTTGTCCTGATTTCTGAACCAGTTGTTAGAGATTGTAACATCGGTCGAACCACGAGTTACATCAAGGAGACCATCTTGGCACTCATACAACGTATTGTGATCTATCCACACTTTCCTTGCAGTGACCAATCTGATCGCATCCCCATCCATCTGACCAAGTGGTATCACCTTTGAATCTGGACCCATCACAGAGCTAGGTGGTTGGGACTGGCAATGGTGGATGCGCAACCCATGGATGATTACATCTGTCGCCTGATACACCAAGAGGCAACCTGCGCCGGTAATATGAACGTCAACACCACGGCCATCAATGGCGGTGAAGCTGCTTATGAGAAGTGGCCTCTGGAGTGTGATGTGCATGTTCTTTTTAAAAGTGATCCATGCTTTTCCCTTGATCACGGTGGCTCCATAACGAAGGGTCCCTAGTTTAGGACTTAAAGAGTCATCAGAAGGATCGGTGACCTTATACCATGTAACATCTGTGCCAATGTTGTTGGTCATTTTGCCAGCAAAACCTACAGAGCACGTGGCCAACTGTTGCCGGTTACTCCGCCAACGAGGATTCTCTCTCCAGCATTTATCAATGGCATTCATCTTGGCCGCACTGGCATTAGGATTTGCCGAGAGAATGACAATGAAAAGGGCCAATGTGAAGCACCATGGTATTGAAGCCATTGTTGAATTCTTTGTTTTTAAGTATTTTCAATGATTTGTATTGATAGGAAGATGGAAAAAGAGTTAGAGGGGAGGAATGGCTTTATACAGCAAAAGACGCCAAATATAAGACAGGAAAAGTTGTTTAGTCTGGTTATGGAGCAGCGGCAGAGGGAGTTACAAGTAATTTATAATGCTACGAATAGAAAGGTGAAGGTTATTACTGTTTTCATCTTATGCTGTACAAATAGTTGGCTAATTAGTTAGGAATTACTACTAATTGACACCTTTTTTTGTTGAGACTAAAAGGTTTGAGACCAATTTCTTTTAAATAAAGGAAAAGGGTGCAAAGCGTGGCGTTTTTTCTTTCTTCTCATGAGTCAAGGAATTATACGCTTTGAAGTGGGAAGCTTTTTGAAAATTAATTTATAATAATAATATCTAAAAATTTGAAATAGTAATTTAAAAGAAACACTAAAAATTTATTAATATTAGTGTTAAGGGCATTTAGTGATCAAAAGGGCATTGTAGTCCTTTCCCTCTATCAGAGGCTGTCAATAAACAATCAGGTGCAATTCAAACATTTGAGCGGATCTGACATGTCGATCAACCTGAGATGTTCAGTGCCATGTCAGCTTGACCACATCACTGTTGTCCCAATTGGTCCATTGTCTCTTACCTATAAATATGGACATTTAGGTATTATAATTCCAAGTTCCATCTTGTTCTAATTCCTTACTTATCTCTCTCATTCTAATTTTTGATTTACGCGTCAGAATTCAGACAAAAAAAAACACCTCTTATTTTACATCCGGTTGCTCTTTTCCTTTCTTTGTCTTTCCAAAAATACCTTTAGGGTGAAGCTCAGTACAAATATTTGGCACACTAATAAAGGGCTATCTACTCATCAACCTAGGTTGAAATTATGTCGTCTAAGAAGAGAGCTATGAAGAAAGGAGAGACAGCCATCCCGACTAGAACAAAAACACATAATAGCTAGCACACAGACTGACCTGCTTCATAATTGGCTGGTTTGACCATGGAGCAATTCTAGACTCTAACCAAGTAAATACAAGCTCTCAAGCAAACACTATAAACTATAACCCTACCTCAGGCTTCAAAAGTGCCCAATCTGGTCACCCTTGGCCGACAAGTTGTTGAAAGGCAACAAAGAAGTAGAAGCTTCTTTGGCCTTCAGGGAAGAAGAATATGATGTTCCTAATGCCCACCATTACCCTAGCCACAATTCGACACACATAACGACCCAAAAATCAAAACAAATCGACTCATAACCCTAATTGAGTATAGACATGGAAACTTGGATGCAAGTTATGAAAAAGAAGCTAAAGGGCAAGGTAGATGCTTTTAAAGACGAGTTCAAATTCTTAGAGACTTTACCCTTCACTGAAGAGATTGACAAAGCTATGCCTTTAAAGGGATTCAAAATACCAACCTTGAAAACTTATGAAGGTACATCTGACCCCTTTAATCATTTGAAGCTTTATAGAACTAATATGATGATGCAGGATGCAGATGAAGCTCTGATGTACAAAGCTCTAGCTACCACCTTTAAGGGCGTAACTCGATCTTGGTATAGTAGTCCTAAGCTAAGGTCAATTACAACATTTAAAGAGCTCAACCACTCTATTTTATCCTATTTTGTAAGTAGTTAAAGAACAAAGAAAATGACTCTGAGCTTAATGTCAATCTATTAAGGCAGAAATGAATCTTTGAAAGACTATGTTACATGTTTTAATGTGAAAGCTCTATCGGTGAAAGACCTAGAGTAGACGATCGCTATAACTACCCTAACAAGTGGATTCGGTGACAAAGAGTGCCACCTTAAGCTGACCTTATCCTTAGAGCCGCCTAAGACGTTGGTTGATGTCTTACTTATGGCTGAAAAACATATAAACGCTAAAAATAACCAAGGTGAGAGAGATTCATCCTTTTTCCTTGGCGATCAAGGTGGAAGAGGCTCATCTGCCCTCCTTGGTCATAAAAAAAGCAAAAATTTTTATAATTCTTTCTCAAAAGGGAAGTGACCTAAGGTTAGGAGCCCTAACAAAGAAAGAAATTATACCACATTAAATACCTCCTGAAAGAGGATTCTGATGCAAACTAATAAGAATCTAGAGCTTAAATGATTGAAGTCGCTAATGCAAAACATAAGAAGGGATCTAACTAAAAGATACACCTTCTATAGAGACATAGGCCACAACACTGAGGATTATGTCAATTTAAAGAATGAAATTGAGGCTATGATAAGGAGAGGTCAACTAGGAAGGTTTGTAGACTGACAGAGACAAGGGTATAATATTTTGAACCATAGAAAAAATTGTAGGGAACCCACAAGGTATAGGAAAGGTAGGCCAGAAGAAAACAAGATAGGAAAATTTAAAAGGGATGAGCAAAGACAAGACAAAGGATAAGCTGCTAACAATAGACCAATTGTAAAGTTAATAAATATGATCACTAGGGAAGCTTCACCTCGGTCAAGAAGAAGTTCAACTAGAGTATAGTCATGGCTATCGATTCCTCATTAAAGAAAAAAAAGGATAAAAAAGATAAATCGATCTCATTCAGCTTGAGATATTTAGAAAAAATCTAATACCCACGATGATACCATAATGATCATGGTAGTGGTATACAATTATGTAGTCAAAAAGATCTTATTTGATAATGAAAGCTTAACCGATGTCTTGTATCATAACACCATGAAGAAGATAAGAATAAAAAAAGACCAATTACAATCGATCACTACGATTTTAATCAGATTTGAAAATGAATAGGTACCAGTCAAAGGGACTATTAAATTACTAATCTCACTAGGAATAAAATTGAAGACTATGATATTAGTCATAGAATTCATGGTTGTAGATATCCCATCGCTTATAATATGATATTAAGTCGATCTAGTCAGTCTGTTATGTGGCTTATAGGCTTAACTTCCAATTTAAAAGTAAAGTTTTCAACTTTTACAAGATTAAGCTGACAGTTCAACTGCTTTTTGAGAAGATTGAATAAGAGAAAAAAGTAATAAAGACTGAAAAAAAAGTAAGGGTTAACACTAACAAAACAAAAAATTGACCTGAAAGAAGTGTGCTTTTAAGCCACTCTGAGCTCTTGAGCTCTACATTGACAAATACTATACTTTCAGCAATTTTTGAATTTTTGGATAGATTTTACAAGTAACTGATCTCTTAAGGCTGCACAAATTTATACATGTCAAATAGGATTGAGCTAACACACTAACCGAAGACATATTGAAATGAAAATGTGCTTTCTGTTTAGCTTTATATTCTCATTACTTATCATTTCATACTAACTGCCATATCGGGATTTATCCCCGTAGGAAACGATCCTGATCTAATTGAGTAAAAAGAAATAATTAATTAAAGACCTAAGGAAGATGAGAACCGACCTGAACTAATAGAAAACCTTATGTCTATATCATTCTGGGAGAACACCCCTAAAAAATACATGCAAATCAAAATTAAACTTGAACATAAAGAGCAATTAATCTAACTCTTGAGCAATAGCATCAACTGATTTGCCTGGACACCGTCCAATATATCAGGAATTGACCTTGTGGTAATGGCCCTTAGGTTGCAAACTAACCCAAACATGAAACTAGTCTAACAAAAAAATAAGACTTTTGCACTAAAAAGGCAAAAGCCTATTGAAGAGGAGGTCGGTTAGCTACTATAAACAGGTTTCATTAAGAAGGTCTATTTTCCCGAATGGATAACTAATAGTGATCATGGTTAAGAAGCACAACAAAAAATGAAAATTGTACCTCGACTTTACCAACCTTAACCAAACATGCTCAAAAGATAGTTTTCCTTTCTCCAATATAGATCAACTGATAGAAGATAACATTGAACACAACCTTTTTAGTTTCATGAAAACCTACTCTGATTACAACCAGATTAAAATGTTGAAGAAAGACAAGGAAAAAAATAACTTTTATCACTAAAAAATACCTCTATTGTTACAAGGTCATGCCATTTGGCTTGAAAAATATAGGAACAATCTATCAGAGATTGGTCAACAAGGTCTATAAAAATTAGATTAACTAAAACATGGAGGCATATGTGGATAACATGATAGCAAAGAGCAATAGCCCAATCGAGCACTTAAAAGACCTAGAAGAGACCTTTTATAATATGAAAAAGTCAACATAAGGCTTAATCCAAGCAAGTATGCCTTTAGAGTTATATTGAGAAAATTCTTTGGCTATATGATCAATAAAAGGGGGATAAAGACAAACCTAAAAAAGGTTCAGACCATTTTAGACATAAAAGCACTGATCTCAGTGAATGAGGTACAGAGGCTAATCAAAAGAATAACCGCTCTGAACAAATTCATGTCCAAGTTGACAGAGCGATGCATGCCATAATTCAAGATCTTTAAGAACATTTTTAACTTCAGATGGACCTTTCAATGCTAGAAAATATTTGATGAGTCTAAAAAGTTCCTCTTCTTTCCACCTAAGGCCAAACAAGATATTGTATTTGTATTTGGCCACTAACGACCAAGCCAGCAGCTCAGTCTTTATCAAAAAAGAAAAAAAGATAGAGATCGATCTATTTTATGAGAAAAGTACTAGCAGGGTCAGAAATGAACTATGTCAGGAAGAAAAGCTAGCCTACGCAGTCGTCACATCAGTAAGAAAACTCAAACTATATTTTTAAGCTCATACAATTCACATATTGACTAATCAACTGTTCAAATAAGTTTTACAAAAATTAGAGCTGTCAGGTAAATTAATCAAGTGAGCAGTATAGTTCAGCGAATTCGACCTATATATGCTCTTCTGGTCAACCTTTAAATCTCAAGTATTGGCATGCTTCATCACATAATTCAAGTTGGCTCAGACCAATGAATGGCCTAAAAAAACGAAAAGGTCAAAAAAGAGGAAATGTGAACTTTTTATCCACAAATCAATTACTAGAAACAGCAGTGGGGCTAACCTTATCTTGATTAGCCTTAGAAAGATTACAATATTAATAAACCCTCAAATTTGGATTTGAGGCATCCAACAATGAAGTCGAGCTAAATATAAAGCATTTAATTATATATAGTGATTTTCAATAGTGGTTGT